TTTTCAACCCAGGCCATCTTATGATTCTCTGACTACTTTGGCTTTATTTTTGCAGAGGACAGACTCCTCTCTGACCCACCGCTCTTACTGTGCTTAGAAACTGTGGTCTGAGCCTCCTAAGCTAAATTTCCAAAACAAATAGAGAATTTTTAACACATGGGTTTAAAACTGTATGCACAGACATGGTTGATTAAATAAAAGGGTTTATTTATACATACACTCATATATGTATATATTTATATATGCACATGAATTTGATATGTCTGGAACACATTAAATTGTTGAGCAAATATGTGAAATCCCTTCTAGCTTGAGTCAGCAGAGATTCATAAAAATAATACATGATGATAAAAATAATAAAAGCCCACAGCCAAAAATCCACATGAAATGAGATAATGGATAAAGAAAAACTTGGTTTGTGAATTTATCTTCTGGTTTCTGAAAAGCCAGGTCTCCCTGGGTGATGTCAAGGATATCTAAGTTGAAAATGAATTTTGTGGAGAAGGTATTTTTTCTATAAGGCAAGGACAGGAAAGTTCTCTTGTAAGTGAATGTGTGACTTCAGAAGAGATCCTCTGTGTGATCAAGAGAGCTCAGCTATTCAAACAGACCTCACGGAAATGGCAAAATATACACTTACCCCATGGGAAATTTCTCACCACTACTGATGGATAGTGAGAACTGAAGGTACTCAGCAAAGCTCACAGCCAGATGTGGTTCATAGAGGCGTTGCTTGAAAGACCATAAGGAACCTCTCAGAGAAGCGTCACAGAAGCACCTGCAGAAAGATGCTGTCGTGACAGCACTCGTTGGTAGAGCTCATGGCTTCACCATTACCTATTGCTGAAGACTTGGTGTTTGTGGTCAAAAGAATGATCACATAAGTGTCTCCATGTCTTGGAAAGTTGGCAAAGACTTTTTTTATGGCAGTGGGGAAGCTCTCCTTGTGCCATCCTTCCTGTACCAATTCTTAAGATGACTCTATATTTACAGGTTTCTTGAGCAAAGTTATGTTTAAACTAGTAATTACTTAATTCAGGTCTGCTTTTGGTCCAGAAGCCAGCAAGTAGAGATACCCCTCATCCTTACCATCAAATAATCTTGCTTCCTTGAAAGGCAGAATAGCTTCATCCATTCTGTTTATTGGAAGTGCTCCCTGGTCCTTGCTATACCACAAACCATGACCAGACATTGCCTAGGAGAGTGTTAAGACAATTTAAACCAAGCCAGTGTACAGCTTTTAAAAGTATTAATGGCCACCAGCCAGTGTATGAGCTGATGTCCTGGCCCTGTTGGGGCTATCAGTGTGGAATTAGCTAAAGGGGCTGAAGGACAGGCTGGAACAAGCTGCCCAGGGTGGTGGTGGAATTGCCTTCCCTGGAGGTGTTCAAGAATAGGGTAGATGTGGCACTGAGGGACATAGTTTAGTGGTGTTGGTGATGGGTTGATGGTTGCATTAGGTGATCTTAGTGTCTCTCCAACCTTAATAATTTTATGATTCTATGATTCAGTCCCATCTAGCTGCATCCAGCTCTCTGAAACCTGATAACTGCACTGCTGAGCAGAGGGGCATGTTGGCATTCGTTTTTACCTGCCCTATCTGATTAATAATGGAATACATAATAGAGGAACTTGGAAAACAAGAATTAGAACTAGGGGAGATCTGTGAGCCAACTCAGGCATCTTCCTTGCAGTTTGTCTATCCTCTGGTGTTCTCTCCAGTCTCATTTATAATGCACTTTTTTCACCTTCCATGCATGCAGAGGTTTACCTAGAAGATGGAAAGGGATTCTAGGCTTTCTTTTCACCATCCCATATAAATACAACTGATTTCTGCATGTCTTTCCTTCCCATTCTCAGTAAAGAAAGAGCTCCAGGAAATAAATTGAAGCCTGGAAAGTTTCCAAGGAGGGTTGCAGAGGCAGGTGTCAAAACTGATGAGAGTGCTCCACCTCCCTGGGAAATCTTCAGCTCTGCAGCAGAGGCTGGACTGTCCATTGATGACATTTCCTCATTCCTTCTTGGATGCTAGAGTCCTGACAGCTGAAGTTTTCACTTTCTCAGATAGCTCTTCCCCCCTCAGCCCTTGCACACTGTTGCCTCTGCTACAGGCATTCATGTGATGAAAAGGGAGAGCCCATCTGGCTGAGCAGTGCTTGGTTTGAGGTGGCCAAACCTTTGGTGGGAAATCCAAACCTTTGGAGGGGAAACCCTTCCCCTCAATGCAGAGCTCAAAGACAACCCATATCCATTTTTTTTACAGTTCTGTCACTTCTGGTGACATTGATTACGTGGAATGAGAAGGGCTCTGTTTATGTCTTGTCTTCTTAACTGGTCTGAGAGAGATGTTACAAAAGCAATAAAATCTACCAAAGGCAGGGTCGTAGCTTGTATGAATGAGTTCTCTCAGGACATGAAACTTTGGCTGAGCAAAAGGACACCATGACTAGAAATCTCTATTCTACACCATAGTGTAGAGTGCTGATTCTACACTATTTGTGGACCATATCTGCTTAGATCACCCAATGGAAACCAAGTCTGAACACATCGGCTCTGTTTCTTCTCAGTGTTGCAGAGCAGGGATCCCTGGCAGAAATGAATCAGGTGGTTCACTGAGGTGACATTGCCTTATTCAGAATGATGCTTTCTATAACACGTTTAATATTCAAGACAAATACAGAATGCAAATAAGGTAGCACTGAATCCTCAAGGGTTGCTTACGCAGGACAGATGCTTTGAGAGCTTCTTAAAATCACAACTTTACACACTATAGAATGATCTGTGGGCCATTCTGAAAAGCTTCTTTTAGATTTTCTGCTCTTCTCACCACCAAAGTTAGTAGCTATTTAGTTCTAACAGAGAAGATCACCTAGATGCTGCTTGATGGAACAGCTTCTGGAAGCATGCAGTTTTACTTATTTCTCCCCATATGAATGAAAAAAAAGCCCTGTTTGTTTTGTTTGCCTTCCTTTGGTACCATGAGATGCGGTCAGACACTTTGCAAACAACATTTAGGAATACAGGTCACCCATTGCTGGTCCATTCAGTCCTGATATGTATTAATTGGTTTTATGCTCTTCTTTTGTTTCTTTTTCTCAAGTGGCAACACACCCATTGCAGTGTGGGGAACTCACCTAGACCTGATCCAGAACCCTCAGATCCGGGCAAAACATGGTGGAAAGGAGCATGTAAATGTGAGTATTGCTACTAAGCTGCAACTGCAGGAGGAAACATATCCAAGGTGGTGATAGAGGTGCCTAACAGCTGTGGAGGCTGAAACCTCTTTTTGCATTCAGAGAAGAGGGCATGATTTCTTTTAAGAAAGGCATGAGATGGCCGATTAATAGAGTCATGGAATGGCTTATGTTGGAAGGGACCTTGAAGACCCCATGCCGTGGGCAGGGATGCCACCCTGTTCAACTTGACCTTGAACTCCTAACACCTCCAGGGATGGGGCATCCACAACTTCTCTGGGCGACCTGTTTCAGTGCATCACCACTCTCTGCATAGAGAATTTCTGCTGCAGTTCGAGCTGTCTTACCAGTCTCAAATTCCTGGTAGGAATGGGTTATGTTTTGATGCAGTGGATCACCAGCTTGTCTCTTGGGTAGCAAAGTTTTTCTGCTCCTCAGTGTCCTCTGTGAGTAGATGAGCTAGCATTTCATCGAAAGATATCAGCCTACCAGTAGAGCTGGAGACATTTTCTGTAAACTTTTCTTGTGTTGGGTTTCTCTCTCCAGAACTGTGAGGTGCAGAACAGTACAGAGATGACCTGCCAGGCTCCCGCGCTGGCTGTTGACCCCAATCACCAATCTGAGCTAGCTGAGCGTCCAGAGGAGTTTGGCTTCATTCTCGACAATGTGCAATCCTTGCTGATCCTCAACAAAACCAATTTCACCTACTATCCAAACCCTATCTTTGAGGTTTTCAATCCCTCAGGGATCTTGGAGTTGAAGCCAGGAAGTCCAATCATACTGAAGGTGAGATGAGGACCAAGAACTGGATAAGGATGGTCAGGCACATGCTGCTTATTGCCATTTCGTGTCTGCCAACAACCCACTAATCGTAGTGGCATCCCAACATTGTCCCAGAGATTTCCTCCACTCATTAAACCTATCATATTGCATAACATCAATCACCATTTGCAAACATCACACCACTCACTGCTCTGCATCTTCCAGTACCCATAACTAAAAAATGTAAACTGCTTTAGCCACTTGTGTGCTGCCTAAATTTGCATCCAGTGCTGTTTGCTGTACCCAAAGCCTATTTCTTGTCTTTTAGACACTTTTCTCTCACCTTTGGGAAAATCCCACATCAGTTCTCCATCATGTCTTTAACCTGAATAGCAACACAAAGAACAAATTATATGCTTGAATATTTCCATATCAGCACTTGTATGAGGTTCATACACAAATAAATGAGCATGCATGCAGAATACCTGCTTGCACATTTGGAAATATGTTTCAGTATTGCCTGATCATTTTCTGCTTGCGAAAGATTTGTGGGAGTTTGAGGGAAAGAAACAGGACAGGCAGCTTTAACTGATAATAGTCTGTATTCATGCTGTCTTCTGTAGGATTTTTGAGCAGTTTTTGCTTACTAAGTGAGTTGTGAACTGTGAATGTCATGTGCAATGTTAACACTGGAATAATAGAAGTAGAGATGGAAGGAAAACTCCTTTGTAATACATTTTTGTGAGTCACAATATTCCTTTCTATCCAGGGCAAGAACCTGATCCCACCAGTGGCAGGAGGGAATGCCAAGCTGAACTACACAGTTCTGGTTGGTGAGAAGCCCTGTGTGGTGACTGTATCAGATGTGCAATTACTGTGCGAGTCCCCAAACCTCATTGGGAGGCACAAGGTGATGGTAAGTGATGCTTGAAACTCAGCCTTTCTTCCATGGGTTTGGTGGAAGGGTATAGCAATGTTTCCTTCACCATTTGCCTTCTGTAGAACCTAGAAATATCAGAGCCCCTTCTCAATACAATACCCCTGTCAGTCAATCCTGGAAGAGTAACTTGGAGATTTTTGTAGACAGTGGGGAACCTTTTGGAATCATAAAACTTCAGGATGATTTTCCTCTTTCTTTGTGCAGCCTGTATGAATCCCAGATGCTCATGTGAATTCTTATGTGTAACTTATTTCCCTCTTGACAAACCGTGTTAAATGTATCAGTTTCCAGCAATTAGCAACATAATAGTGGCTAAAATTTGTGCAGGATATGGACTGTAGTGTGACTTTGAGATTTTGACATCTATACAATTTAGTATGATCTTGCATATCCTTCCTGGAACCTGTGAAAAAAGAACCTAGTGATTACATCAGAGGGAGCTTCCTCCTCTCTCCACTGATTTATTCACTCCTTTACTTTCCTCTCAGTAATTTGCATGCCTCAGTGCTCTTGCTTGATAAACAGCACACCAGCAAACTCATCTGAGTTGTGCAGAGCTGGGGGTGGAAGCAAGGCATAGCTGACAGCAGACATACAGATGATCAATGCTTCTCATTGCCCGCGATCAACTTTTTTCCAGCTCTCTGTTGCCCTCCCAAATCTGATATAAAGTTATTTAATTCAATGTAAGGAGATTTGCCGAGTTTCTTGGAGAGACAATGCCTTCCTCTTTAAAACAAGAGGGATGGTCTTTTAGAAAATTGAGAGCTTATGGTGACTGTGTTGAGTCCCAGTTGTGACTGCTGCTGGGACACCTCATACTGGCTACTTTACTTTTCTGTTCCGAATTCTGTCATATGGAAAATAGAGGTGATAATCCCTTTCAGTCATGCACATATGCTGTGGCTCATTGTAAAGCACTTTAATACAGTCCAAGAAGAAAAATAACAAACATGAGATTTTCTCTGTGTAAATATGAAAGCTTTGGAACAGAGCAATATATGTTGCCTGTAATTTTCATGAATTTCATTAAACATATGTTTAGTCAGAGAGGGACAAAAACAATCCTAGAGAGATAAAACTCGAAGTCAGGTGAGCAATTACCAACTTGTGGGGATCAGGGAGGATGAACATCTGGCCAGGCCTTGCTAATTGGGAAGACTCCTCTGTTCCCACAGCTTGGGACAGCTTAAGAGAAACCTCAGAGAAAGAAATAATCCCCTTTTTGAGAACACTGATCAAACAAGAGATACTGTTGGAAAAAATGAGAAGGTGATTGCATTGAAGCCTATTGATGAGCATCGCTCTTAGGGGCAAGTTGCAGATTTCCTTGTCTAAAGCCAACAATAAGGCAAGCCTTTGACAGAATCTGGGCTAGGAACCAAACACAGAAGCTTAGCTGTGATTGAGGCCAGTGCCCAAGGATGGGCTTTGCATCTATAGCTTACCAGGGGGACAGCTGGGCTGGGAAATGCCTCCTCCAACATGGCACAGCAGCTCTGTTGCCCATGTTTCACATGGATGTCACTCTGATGGTTGGGATAATTGACAGGTAGTTCTCTCGGGTTCTTCCCCTGCTTCTGATGATGATTTCCTGTGTGACCTTGAGCTAACTGCTGAGCAAAGTCTTTCCTGCAAAGTGAAGTGGCCTAGATCTGAGAGGAGACAACGGCTCTGAACACTGTGATTATTTCAAAGGGAAGGAAGAGTGACAGTGACACATGTTGGTGTCAGCATGTTTTTGCACTTCTTTAACTTTCTTTTATGCAATCACCGAGTTAAATACTTGAAAAAATATATATTAAAAAAAAAACACAAAACAAAACAAAAAATAAACCACAGGCACACGAAAAGGGCAGAGCAGTGGTTGATAAAGATAGCTTAAAGCCCAGAGAGAAGCTCTTTTTCAACTGAAAGAAACATTGACAAGGAAGTGTAAGCATTGTAGAAGGCCTGCAATGTAGAGATGGAGGACATTTGAAGGAGTGCTCATATTCGTTGTATGCATTTAAAGACAGAAAGTTACATTGATGTCTTTGTACAGTGAATGGAGAGATGGTCAGGTGTACTGCCTTACATTCAGGGCACAGTCACTCAAAGCCAGACACATTTTGTTAATGCAAGCTTGCACTAGGAAAGACACTATTATAGTCAAGTTTTGTACAACAGGAGTTGAAGAAACTCTCTCTTGAATCACTACAGGTGGTCCCTATGTCTTTGCTGGAAAAAACTTGTGTAACTTGTATCTGCCATAGTGCCATTTGGAGAAATGCCAGTTTAATAGCCCCAACAAGTGACCAAACTGTTGTTTAGTGGTACAGAATTTGGTTACCTGGAAGTTGATTCCTTGGAAAAAAATGCAGGACCTAAGAAATAAAGTAGGGTTATTTCTGTATATTTTCCTGTGTCATTGTAGTGCTCACAAATAGTACTACAGCCTTGCAGGCTTTCTTCTCCAAGAGACACATTCCCTTAGATCAGTTTGTGGACTGTGAGGATTTCTCAGTGTTGAAAACAGCTTTGGAGAGGAACTTTGCTAGGTGCTTACCTCTAGGAGTCTAACTCAGGTGTGCATGTCAAAAGTTTGGTGAGAGGAATCCCACTCATGGAGCCAGGCTGTTCTGTGGGTTTTGAGGACAGTCTTGCACTGAGGTTTGGGTTGGGATTGTTTGACTCTGGACTGATAGTCCATCAAAGGGCTCCTTTCACTGCCAGATCTGGATGAAAAAGGCCACTGTAGGAAACAGAAAATGATGATAATGACTCCATTTATTGATCCACCATGACAGGAAGGAAATTGTGCAAAGTAGTGAGCCAATTTTGCTGTCATCTTGGGTGGATTTGAGACAGTAGTCTATGTCAAAAGGCAATAGCTTCCAGTGAGAAGATTAATGTTTGACTTTGGAAGTTTGTCTTAGCTGAACTTGCCACATACCAGTACCAAACATCTACCCTTTGCAAGCTTTTTGAAGTGGAATTTAACCTAATATCTTGGAATAGACAGGAAAAATAGGATCTTCTGTGTCCTTGACTTATATGGGTGCTAGATTGTTCTTTGCCCAGTGAAGATGCTCTACAAAGTGTCCATGTCATGCTAAAGAACTTGTCACCTAACACAATTAGTTGGTCAGACAGCTTAGGTTTAGTTTAGTTTCTTGTTTTAGACACTGTTATGGATTCCATGATCCTTATGGGTCTCTTCCAACACAAAATATTCTATGATTCTATGTTTTAAGAGCCCATTTCCGGGGCATAAGATGACCTTGTGGATGGAAATGGCATATTCCAGACTATCACCTTTAGTCTGACCAAAATAAAAAGATTTGAGCTAGGTGGCATTGACCAAGACACATTGAGGAACAGGCTACAGCTGGTGCTAGTGCAAAACAGAACTCAGAGGCTGCAACTGAGGCCATAAATAATTTCCAGAAGATGATGGAAATACAAAGATTCATGTCTCCAGAATAACCTGTGGGGGTGAGAGGATCTCACCACAGCATGATACTTCAAACTGCTTGCGTGGCATTTTCCTAGGTTCATGCTGATCCATAAGCAGAGTGTTCCCATACTAAAGCACACTATTAGAAACTTTCCTTATATATCTCAGACTAGTCAGTAGTACTTTTCCCACTGCCACTCAAACTTATCCTGTTTTACAGATAGCCTCAAGCATTCTTGCAGTAGCCTTGAACAAGTAGCACCCTGTGGGATTACTTTTGGGAATGGTGTGCATGTTGTGTAAATGGGCTCCCAACAGACTTTCTTCAGCAGAGTATTTTGTTGGGTACACAGCAGTACTACCTGCAGGGTTTCTTCCCTGCTATTAAAAGCAAGATCTCACAAAGACACTTGTCCCAGATTCCTAGGAACCTCCAGGAGTGCATGGAGAGCAGAAAGCTCTGACTGGCTTCCTGTCCCACTGGTAAGCATGCAAAGTTCTTTAGCTCATGTGACACAACAGCTGGATGAGGGGCTGCAAAGAGCATGGGCCAGGCTCTGTGGCTTTTGCTTTCCAGATACAGTTTTCTCAATTTGAAGACTGAAAAGCGAATTATGACTAATTTCTGCATTCCCAGTGCCCTAACCCAAAATGAAGTTAGGGCCCATCAGACCATAGCCAAGAATGACCTATCTTGTATGCATTCTGGGACTGATATCAAGGCAGTGCATAGCTGTCTAGGACAGAGGAGGAAAACCCCAAATGATCCCTACGTTTTAAATAGCCAGGGCTTTGGTACTGGTAAGACTTGTCTCACTAGAAATCCTCTGTTAATCTGGTTTATGGTGGCATTACCAACAGAGCTGTATCCAAGTGAGATTTCAGATGCTTTAGCCATTCTGTATCCAAGTACTTCATACTCTATTTAACTTGAGAAGTCATCATTCATGTGTTATCATGCAAGTTTGACTTGCATAACAGCCTTAATTGGGATGATGATGGACTTCCTCTGTGCTCCTGCGTATTTGACAGTTTCAACGCAATTTTATCCTGCCTTCCCTCCAGGCTCGTGTAGGAGGGATGGAATTCTCCCCAGGGATGGTCTACATCTCTCCAGACAGCCCTCTCAGCTTGCCAGCTATTGTCAGCATTGCAGTGGCAGGTGGCCTGCTCATCATCTTCATTGTGGCCGTGCTGATTGCCTACAAGCGCAAGTCCCGAGAGAGTGACTTGACCCTCAAACGCCTGCAGATGCAGATGGATAACCTGGAGTCCAGGGTGGCACTTGAGTGCAAAGAAGGTATGGTGAGGAAAGAAGGCTGATATAGTGTCAGGAGAAAGGAATCCAGCTGCAGAGCTTTGAGCAAAAATATCACCAAGCAGCAGGGGTGTTGAACTCCTGGTTCAAGTCCAGGTCTAATCTGACTTTGCTCATTTTCTCTGAGTCCAGTCTTCCTCCACCTTGTGTTAACTGCATTTGCTAGCTCAGTGTCTGGAGAGAGCCCTGGCACATTGTCCTGGGGAAAGATGATGTGATGGGAAAAGTGAGACTGCTCTTGTCTACCTTCTTCTTCCTTTCCATTTGTTGCTTCTCCATTTATGTCTCATTCATGTGAGGCTGAATGTCTTTTCTGTTACGATGAGAGAGATCTGAACTGTTATTGATGTATGTCTTGTTTGTTTTTGCATCAGCTTTTGCAGAGCTGCAGACGGATATTCATGAGCTGACAAGTGACCTGGATGGAGCAGGGATCCCTTTCCTCGATTACCGAACCTACACCATGAGGGTGCTTTTCCCTGGCATTGAAGATCACCCAGTCCTGAGAGATCTGGAGGTATCAGCATTGCCAACTGCAAGATGTGTCGTGACAATGGAGGGAACAAGATGGCTTACAATGCTGTATCTTACAGGGACAAAACAGTAACTCATTTACAGTCTAGATTGGAAAAGGATGATTTTTACTGTATTAGATGTTAAATTCTGTTTGATCACTCATTTATTCAGAAGAGCACCATACATCTGAGTGAATTATTTGCTGTTTTAAGCTCCCTCTTGGTCATCATCCTGTGTGAGTTTGCTTTTTAGACCATGCAAGGGCCAGGAAAAAAAAGTCTTAGAGTAGAGCAGTATACCTGTGTGTATCACAGCAGCTTTGTCAATTGCTGATGCCACCCAGCATCCTTTTTTTCCTGGCAACACCTACAATCTGCATTCTCTGAAGGAGAATCACCTTTGCTGTGCTCTGTGGTTTGCAGTGGGGTCAGAGATGTACAGCATCAGTCTGCCCATAACCTGCCCATGTGTGCCCTGCATCCCAGCTCTCAATACTGCAGCAGTGTGAGGATGGTGAGACGTTGCCCAGCTCTGCTAGTGTCTGCATGCTGCCTGCATTACCTCCTTGGCAGCATGAGTTTTACAGGCCTAGATGACGTTGTCCATTCTGGTTCAGGGCTTGGCAGATAGACAGGACCTGCTCTAGTGATACTTGAGCCAGAGAAGCAGGTCATATACACCATGTCCAAGGCCAGCAAGGTCCTTGGCTGAACTCTGCAAAGTCTCTGGCAAACTCTGTGCCTCAGAGAGGCTCTGGCATAGTGAGTTTCCTGGAGGCAAAGACTTGAGTTAGTTGGCAGAGAGGAGGAATAGGATTTGGCACAGGCAATTCCATGCTTGGCTGGATGTGTAATCAGAGGTTCTTGCTACTTTTTGCTCCTATACTTCAAGAGAGCCAAACTTCATCAAACTGTAAGGTGAGAACCATTGAAAAAATGATCTGGAAGCATTGTGCTAGTGGCTAGGAAGCTACAGAACACTTTGGTTACTGTAGAGATTTGCTTTTGGGATACAGCAGCTCCAACAAATGAGCACACAAGATGAAGAGCAATGAATTTCTCCTCCATGTACACAGGCAAGCACTTTTATCATACCCACAGCTGGTTTCAAAGTGTGTATTCATTAACTTCAGCCAGCTGACCACCAAAGAGTATCTGAACCTTACAGAGCTTTTAGCATGGATGCTCTCATATTAAGATACGTGTAGAGAGACACAGAGTTAATGTTTCAATCTGCCACTTTTGATTCCAGGTCAGTCTGAACAGGACTTAACCTGATCTAGCTGCAGGTGTTTCTGTTCATTGCAGGGAGTTGGACCTGTAAGGGTCCATTGCAACTCAAACAGTTCCATGATTCTATGATCTTCCCTTCCTATCTTAATTATTTTTTCCATCTTTGGGTTTCTGCCCCCTTAATCCACTCTAGTGCTTCTACAGCTCTTTCAGTGTCAAAGTCTTTGGATACCAGCAAACCAGAAAGGAGTTTCTATCCTGCTCCTTACTCTGTAGCACCTAGATGGAGCCAGTACTTATTGGGAAAAGGCCCCAGAAATCCTGAAGTCAGGAGGTCTTACTTATTTCCAGCTCATTTGCTAATTAACTGCTTCCAGATGCGTTACAAAATAATTCTCCTGTTTTTTTTTTTTTTTTTAATTCTACATAGTAACCCAGGGATAGACAATATTAAATGTTCAAGCAAGTGAGTTAAAAGTAATTATTAGCAGGATGAGTGGTAGTGGTTGGTTGATTGTCTCAAGCTATTTAGCAAGTAATTTATTTTCAGTTTGCAAAAACAGTTAAGATCTCTAATTTCCAGAATAAAAAAGTAATGATTCTTTATGGGGACTTGCATTACTTGGTCATTTAAGCATGCTAACTTGGATTAAAGTGCCAAAACGAGGTGGTTAATACTTTCTTACAGCAGTGGCATGTGTTGCTCTGAGTTGTGAGTCTCCAGCTTCCAGGAATGTTTTTTGAAGGAATGAAAGAAACATGGAGGAATGAGTTTGGGGCTCTCATTTAGGATGCATTGGTGTAGCACATAAAAGGATGAAGTATACCCATGGGGTGTGGCTTTATTTTGATCCAGAGACAGAGGGGCAGGAAAGGATAATACCCACTGTAGACTGTGGCATGCAGGGTTCATTGTTGAGGTCCTAAATTGTTCTACACCAAACCTAGTGCACCAGTGTTTCACAAATGAGAAATACATATCATCTTATCAATTACCCTGTCTCTAAACAATCTCACCTCCCAAACCCCAGGATCCTACTGCCTTAGGACATTGAAAATAGGTTCCAGCTCTTTGCCCTCTCACACCTTCTTCTATCTGTGGTTCAGTGGACATGATGGTGATGGGTTGATGTTGGACTACACAGTCTTTTGGTGTTTTTTTCCAACCTTATTCATTCTGTGATCTAGTTCTTCAGACCAAGACTCAGCTCCGTGCTCACCACCTCAGCTTTTGTCTCACTGCATCTTTTTATCTCCTCAAATCATGACACCTGGACCTCTTTCTCCCATTACTTTACTACTTTCTCCCCCAGCTCACTAAGCAGAGCCCCAAACCCATGCCTCATACTTCCCACATTGCACCTTCCCTGTGTTTAGGCATGCAGCTGATACGTGGTTGTTTGCTGGGATGAGGAGATAAGGAGACCTACATAAGTCCAGACCAAAAGGAGACCCACATAAACCCAGGCTTTCCAACATTGACTCAGACTGTTCTTCTCTTTAGGTTTCTTGCAGGGATTAAAAAGAGATGTTAAAGGTGGATAGAGTGAGACTTCAATCTGACAGCAATAAGAATACAATATACTATGATACCACATCCAGGCATCAGCAATTTCCTCTGGATGTACTGTTCAGAGAGAGTGTAGCAGAGCTTGAAAATAACCACCTGGCTGTGGTTGGAATGTCTGTCTGTCTTCCTATCAAATGACTCTCTTCCTTCTTAAAGAACTATACTCCAAAATGAAAACTTTTCTTTCTTTTTAATTTTCTTTGCTGTTGGAGGCAGCTTTTCCTTCTCTGTATCTCAGATCTGACTTCTACTTGTTGTTGAATTATATAGCTGGAAGAAATGGAGGGCTGAGAGCAGAGAATTAGCAAAGTGTTTGTGACTCATTTGGGAATGTCCTGCAAGTGGACAGTGAAAGAAAGGTATAAACTTTTTTTTTTCTCATACAGGTCCCTGGCTATAGGCAAGAACGGGTGGAGAAAGGCCTCAAACTCTTTGCACAGCTCATCAACAACAAGGTTTTCCTGCTGTCCTTCATCCGCACGCTGGAGTCCCAGCGCAGCTTCTCCATGCGCGATCGTGGCAACGTGGCCTCGCTGATCATGACAGTGTTACAGAGCAAGCTGGAGTATGCTACTGATGTCCTCAAGCAGCTCTTGGCTGACCTCATAGACAAAAATCTGGAAAGCAAGAACCACCCCAAGCTGCTTCTCCGCAGGTAAAGATATCCAGGGCTGAGCAACCTGCAAGCCACTACCTAACACAAGCATGCAGTTCCATTTTGGAGGAAAATGATGAATTTGCTTGATTTTGGTTCATGCAACAGAGTATGAAATTGTATATAGTCACAGCTCACGTGACCCTGTAGAGCTGGCATGAAGCTGTTTGCAGAGAAAGATGAATAAGGCAAGTAGGGATGAGTGAAGGCTTTGCTTTCCTGTACTGCTTTGCTGCTCTCTGCCTTCAGTCAGTGATTGAAAATTTTACTACTATTGCATTATCTGTTAATTTTAATGTGTATCTTCAGAAAACTTCATAAGAGCAGCAAGAAGCCACATTTCATAAGCCTTATTTTGGACTTATGCTAGACTAACAAGTATATGAGATAGAATAGGCTGTGTAATATACTTGGACAGCATGGTGAATAAATTGGAAGTTGCTTTATCATGCCTGAGAGGTGGACAAATCTGCTGTGCTTCGTATTTCTGAGTTACCTGCATATGTAGTCTTCAGCTGCATTGTGTGATCTCCTGTTTCTTCCCGATCATTGCCTAGTTGAATCCAGAAGGCAGAGCTGAGCAGGACAACAGAAATGGTTTCATTTGGGTTTGTGCTTCACGGTCTAATCTCCAGGGTTGTGTGGAAAACCTTGGATATGCTGCTCTGTGGTTAATGTAGTCTCCTTGCTTAGGGAAAAGCAGCATTTTCTCCTTTTAGGATCATATTAATCTTCTTTCTATGGTCTGAACCAACCCTTCTGCTTGAAGTCAGGGATGGATGGCCTTTGCCACTGCTAAGAGCTGTGTTTGAGGTGCTCTGAGCTGATTATAATGGATGGCTCAGGCAGATGAGAGGTTTGTGATGCCTGCTGGGAGAGTTTTCTTCTGGCACACAGCCCATCATGAAGTACCAGCTTTTGCTAGAGGAGCAGTAGGCATTTCCTGGCATTCAGAGGAGCAACACCAGGGGCAGAAAATGGTCTTCACTTCAGCATTGTTTGGCTCCCTGAGTCCTACAGCCTGGCTGGCAACCTCCCTCCAGCTGTCCCCAGTTTTCCTCTCTGTGCTTCTCCTCTGATGCTTGTTGTCACTGCCTTCTTCCAGTCGTCCCTTCATTTACCTTCTTTCTTTTCCCCTCTCTCCATTTCTTTGTCTTCTTCGATTGTTCATTCCTGTCTTCTCCCAAGTCCCCCATTTTTTCCTTTTCACCTTCTTCCAGCTCTTTTCTAACTCTAATCCTATTTGTTGAGAATGCACTTTGGCCTTTGGAAGGCCACACGTGAACAGATGATTGGCTCCATTTATTGGTATTCAGATATTGGTGCAAGATTTGCTGACAGTTATGTGGAGCAGCTGAATTAAACTTACGTTTCTCTTTCCATTTCCTCCCTTTGACTGTGAGGATGGAAAGAAATCTTTCAAGACACTCCTGCAGGATTGGCATGTGGGCTGTCAGACAGGAGGAAAGAGTTGGTGGGAATGATTTCCCAGCTTGCCTGTGTCCAGTGTACATCCCAAAAGATGTACACTGACCCAAAGAGATCAAAGTTGCCCAGGAAACAACGTGACAGGATTTCAGACCTTTTGTCATTAATGCTAAGTTTGCAGTATGTGATGGGTCCCAGTGATGTGAGTGTCACATCCCTTGTGGGGAGCTCAGAGTGCTTGACTTGAGGATGATGCCATAACCAGTGGAGAGCAGTTGTTAGATGATGCTGACTGAGGGGAATACAGGGCAAACAGGTTGGGTTTGGCAGATGCAGTCTCTAGAGAGACATAGCAATGATCACTGTAGACAGAAGAAATGAGACTAACTTTATCTGAAAGACTAAGGAACCTAAAAAGTAACCTACAGCCCTAAGCAAGAAACTTTGAATCACTGTGGTGATGGCCAGGTCTAGCAAGACCCACGTTTACTCATTCAAGCAGGGACTCATGCTTTCTTCTTGAGCAAAATCAGTTCGTGCATTGGAAGCAACACAAGCTTATTCTGTGCTTCTGATGTCCAAACTCAGTTAACCAGTACAAGTTAGTTAATCTGTAGGAAACTTGTGACTCTGAAGTCACAATATTGATTTTTGTTTGGTTGAAAACAGAGTTCAGGGGCTACAGGAATTGCTCTGTGAATGCACCGCGTTGACACACTGAAGATTATAATTACTCTCAAATGCCAGGGAGATAATCACTACCAGATAAGTATTCTCTGGAGATTTAGATCTGCCTTAAGTACTTATATGACCTACTCATCTGTACTGCCTAACCACGAGCTCCTCATATTTGATGGATTTATCCTCCCTGAGCATCTCTGAGGTTCTTCTCTTTCGTTGATGGAGAAAATGCAGAAAAGCAAATAGAGACTTTCCTAGTCACTGGAGAATCACTAGAAGGTTTCCTAAATCCAAAGCTAAAGCAGAGATTCTAGGAAGTGCTTAATCCTGATGGTATTGTGCCTGATTTTCCGTGGGGCTTGGTGATCTGGACAGTAAGATGCACAAAACCAATCTCTTAACCAGACCTTAGAGATGACTAACATGACTGACTTATTTCCAATTTTTTTTTTTGTCCCGGTCTGATTTTAGGACAGAGTCTGTAGCTGAGAAAATGCTCACCAATTGGTTCACCTTTCTTCTGTACAAGTTTCTCAAGGTAAGATAAGTAACGCTCCTGGATGAGCAGCTGCTTTAATGCATTGCTTCTTGGCAAGGTGTAGTTGGGGTAGCACTGACTTTGAATGACAGCGATCAACAAATGAGTGAAATTACTTGAGATGCCCTCTGAGCCCTCTTGCTCCTGCTGGAAGGTCTCCTTCAGGACTTATGTAATTGTAATGAAAAAAAGAAAGGCCTTCAGCCTTTGAGTCCCGTCATTAATGGCTGGGTGATGACATGTCCTCATGAGAACCCACACTGAGCCCCTAGGCGTGCTAATTGCTGTGGTCCCATATTTACAGCCAGCCTTTTGGAGAGAGATGCCTCTTCACCTTGCCCTGACTCTCAGTGCAGTTGCCAGATCTCCTTACATCTCACATTATGTCATTTGGACAAGATAACTAACCTCTGCTTGGAAATTCAAAGCTTTACAAACCAATCCTGTTGCTCTGAGCCTTTCCAACCTTCAGGCACAACCTGTCAAAGGCTGAATGCATGGGAAAGTTTTGAAGGTCCCTGCAAGGTAATTTCAGTGACTAGTATCAGATTCCCTCTTGCAGTTGAAAGGAAAGGGTACAAGGAGGTGACTCTCTAAAGCACTGCTTTTATAAGTCTTTCCACCCACTCAGCTACTTGTCTTCCTGCCTTAGCCTGAACAGTGGCCTGATAAGTGCATGAGACAGGCACACAGAAGCAATATGCTGCTGGCAGATAAGCTAATTAAGTGGGAGACAGGTGTAGGAACTGAGAACGGGGCCACTTTGCTTCATATTATTAACTTGTTCTTGCCTGGATTTACACCAGAGGAAAATGACCTCGCTCACTGAATTGGGATGCACTGCTAGAGGGGAGGGCAGTGTAGGAAGGAGGGAAGAAAGAACAGAGGCATGAGAGAGAAGGGAAGAACAGAAAAAAGCACAGGGAGGGATGCGTGGCAAGAAATGTGCAGAGGAAGGGCACAGCAAGAGAGGATAGGTGTGGGAAGAAGGGTGAAGAGAGAGTGAATGAAGGGAAGGAGACATTGGTGAGGAGGTTGCTTTGCTGCCTGTGGGGTGCTTGTTGCACCTGATATCACCGATACAATTGCACAGAATAGGGGGCATGGTTCTGTGGCAACCCTCCCCTCAGTCATTAAGCTGCTCCTGCCCAAGCAGCATTGCTTGCCTTCAGCATAGGAGTGCTCAGGGAGACTGTAGGCACTGCCCAGACACCTGGGATGAGGCAGCAGTGGTGCTATCTCCTGCCAGCCCTATCTCCAAGTCATTCAGAACCCATCCCACCACCTGCACTGTTGCAAAGGTGTGGCCCAGCAGCAGTCACTCAAACAGCCTATATATTTTTTGATGTGGAATCACACAGTGATTCACCCAGTGAGGGTGACTCTCAATGAAGCATCTGCCTTGAGTGGCTGGGGGTGACAAGCAGCAGCAATCACTGAGATATCATGTGGGCTTGGGATCCAGATTTTCATCTATGCTTTTTCTTGCCCACCTGATTGTTGTCTCTCACCCTTGCAGGAGTGTGCTGGTGAACCTCTGTTCTCCCTCTTCTGTGCCATCAAGCAGCAGATGGAAAAGGGTCCCATTGACTCAATCACTGGGGAGGCCCGGTACTCACTGAGTGAGGACAAGCTTATCCGACAGCAGATTGATTACAAAACATTGGTGAGTACTCTGAGCATGCTCTCCTATGAGCTTGTTCACCTTCTTCTAGCAAAAGGGCATTTAGAGGACAGAAGCTAGTCAAGGACACATTGACTTTCTGGTCTTTTTTTTCTTGCAACCCAGCAGCATAACCTGACCTATTAGTTGCATACTGTAACACAACAAAATTTTGTTACTGGAGAGTTTTCTTGCAAAGCATGTGTGCAATGATAACTACTTCCAATTTAATTCCACTGTGTTTTATCTCATGCCCAGACTATCTTGAATTCCCCAAGGGTGTTGCCTGTTGTGTGAAATCCTATGGAGATATTCAGCACCCATCTGGACACCTACCTGTGTGACCTATTGTATGGTACCTGCTTTAACATGGAGGTTGGACCCCATGATCTCTTGAGGTCCCTTCCAACCCCTGCAATTCTGTGATTCTGTGATTTCGGCATTGAGGAAGATGTTATAGTAGCACAGAGCAGGGACCTATCAGATCTTCTTCAGAGTCAGTGCAACATTCCTTTTAAGCAAGCTCAACAAAAAGACAAATGAACTTGATTTAAAGATTTCAAGGGAAATAGAATTATTCCCTGTCACTGAGTCATTTGCTTCATGACTGCATGGTGAAAGACTGTTTATTCCTACGTTAGATACATCAAAACTTGGCTTCTATATGAGATTACATCCTTTTCCTGTATGATTAGAGAGCATCAATTAAGGATGAAGAACACTAAACACCTCTTCTTAATGTAAATATTTGTGGGTCTTCACTTTTTTCCTGGATACGCTAATCCTTCTAAGCCTCTGCAGGATGAAGTAGACTTTCTGAGTGCTCAACTGTCCTTGTAATTCCTTTATTTCCTAGAAGTTTGTTCTTAGAACACTCCAGGTTTTAAGGTGGTCAACCCTTCCTGCAGCAGAGGGTTGGAATTAGATGATCTTTCATGTCTTTTCCAACCCAAGCCATTCTATGATTCTATAATCAGAAGATGTTTTGAACTTAGCAGCTGATTTTATGCACACCTTCAACTGAGGGATGTTCATTTTGCTTTTATTTAACTTGCTTAGAGAGCTGTGTCCAGTCAGTGATAGCTCCTTGACCTGCATTACATCTCACTGTAGGTGGGCTGACTCTACAGCTGTCTGTTCTTCCCTGACTACAATCCTGAGCCTAACTTCAGTTGAATTCAAGTCTAATGAGTTAATGATAGACTTTACTCTTAAATAAGACTACAGTTCACTTTTGCATTCTAAAACTTTCCTATTAAATCACCAGAGCAGTGCTTCTTTTCCATTATGTGTAGTTGTCTAGTAATTTGGAGACCTGATCTTGGAGAGAATGAGTAAAAGAAAAAAAATAATCAGGCACAGAGTGATCACTTTCACCAAAGGAAATCCCTCCGATGTGGCCTAAACTCAGCCAGCAAAGGGTAGTAATTATACATCAGCCTGAACAAAGCTTTCTTCCATTTGCTTTGTGTTGTTTGATGTTAATCAGCTCTCCCTCTTACATCTCAAGAGCAGACAAATATAACCCGATAGGAATCTTAGCAGATTTACAGAGATCAGCTTCAGTGAAGAAGATTAAGAAGAAACAGAATATAAATAAGATTGTTCTTCCTTTTGTTTCTTCTTCCTTCTGCTATATTTTGTTCTTCCTCTACCTTTCTTGAGCAGACATTATTCTGTTATCTTTTGTCAAAAAAATACAGTAATGAAATTAAGCAAGAATTGATTCAGTGCTTGTAGTATTAGGAGATGCAGTATTTATAATATAGGAATTTCCTGAAAGTCTTCTGTTCTCTCTATAAAGCATCTGGTCACTGCCATGAGTCTGTAGTGTTCGTGGCTGAAATTCATTAGGTTCTGTTTCATGAGAGCTGGATGAAGTTGAGTCACACCTAGAAACAATCTGTTTATTGCCATTATTCCACAAAGACAAGGCTTCTTTTGGAAGGGCATTATTCTTTAGCTTTTATTAATCATTACCATTATTTTAAGTCATGGTTTCAAATATGGTTTGTACAAAAAGCAGATCCCAAAAAACTGACTTATCAGAGGAGACAAAAGGAGACAGAGCAGTTTCAAACATCTGGAATTATTAATTTTACAGTGTGCACCTCATTCACTACATTTTTATAGTTTGGGTCTGATTTATTTCCAGACTAGATAGCTCTAATTTTCTCTGTGCAAAGTCGTATAGTTCTCCAAGGAAGCAGCCAGTGGTGAGTTGAGTTATTTGCACTGTAGAACAATTTGTGTATATGCAGGAGATTTTTCAGCCCATAGAACCACAGAATCACAGAATGGCCAGGGTTGGAAGGGACCTCAAGGATCATGAATCTCCAACCCCCCTGCCACATGCAGGGCCACCAACCTCCACATTTAATACCAGCCCAGGCTGCCCAGGGCCCCATCCAACCTGGCCTTGAACACCTCCAGATCCACAGCCTCTCTGGGCAGCTGTTCCAGCACCTCACCACTCTCTCTGTAAAGAATTTCCCCCTGACATCCAACCTAAATCTCCCCTCCCTCAACTTAAAACCATTTCCCCTTGTCCTGCAGTTATCAACCCTTTCAAAGAGTTGATTCCCCTCCTGTTTGTAGGCTCCCTTTAGGTACTGAAAGGCTGCAATGAGGTCATCCTGCAGCCTTCTTTTCTCCAGGCTGAACAAGCCCAGCTCCCTCAGCCTGTCTTCATAGTAGAGGTGCTCCAGTCCCCTGATCACCTTCGTGGCTCTCCTCTGGACCCTCTCCAACAGCTCCCTGTCTTTCTTGTACTGGGGGCTCCAGACCTGGACACAGTACTCCAGATATCATAGAGTTACTTGAATTGGAAGGGATCTTTAAAGATCATCTAGTCTAACTCCCCTGCAATGAATTGGGACAGCCCAGGAGACACTAAGGTAGCTACAGATGATATGTGCTAGCAGAAATGTGCATCAGCTACACAGTAGGTCTTCTCCCAAGATGTATAACTCAGAGAAACACTCTCTGGTGTTAATGTCTTTGCTAATAGTCAGTTATCATCATCTGTGGTCTGCAGCATTATTAAAAGCCTAGCTGGATTATTCCATCTATGGCAGACGAGAAGATTTCATTCCTGCTGGCTGCCATCTGCCTTTGCCAGAATCCATGGCTTTTTTTAGCCTTTCACCACACCAGAGTCTCTCTGTACAAACCTCCCTCTCTGCTGCCACAGCTCTGCTCTCACTGGGAGATGAAAGACCATCCATCTCTTACATCAGCTTCATTTCTCTTGACACAAATAACGCAGAGGAGCAAAGGCCTTGATGTGTGTCAGAAGCTGTCAAGAGTATTGGATAATGAGTTTTCAGAGCTGGCAGGCAGGAGCTGCCCAACGTGTATTGAGCAATGGCATGCTCTGCATGGCTCTTGCACACCTTGGCAGAGTTGAGAGCCTAATCAGATCATCCATCCTGACAACTTAGCCCAGGGCAGTTAAATATGTTTTGAGCTGTGTTTGGTTAAAATCTTTCAAGGAGTTTTGGTGGCAGGGAGGAAGCCAGAAATGAGATACCGAAGGGTTCTCCCATGCTTGGTCTCTTTGGACATCCTTCTCCTTGCTCTCTTGCCAAGACACGCTGTACCCCTCGGACCTTCTTCAGACTAATCTAGAAGACTGAAACTATAGTGATGTCCTGGTCTCAGGATGAAGCACCCAAACAATACAGAGAGCTCAGGACCAGGGTCCCCATATGGGTAACCACAAGCCATGTGTTTGTAATTTAAATGCCAGTAATCCCCAGTGGAGATTAGGGCTTAGTTGTTCTAAGCATTGCATATATATATACTTAGAGACAGTTCATGGCTGGAAGGGCTGACAGATAAAAAAGCTTAAGGATATAGAAAGAAGGTCAATAAACACAAATCCAGTGAGATATCATAGCCCAAGGTCAACCCTGACCATGGCAGAGGAGTTGGAACTAGATAATCTTTAAGATCCCTTCCAACCTTATGATTCTATTAAAAAGTCAATGTGAGAGCAGGGCTCAGAGGTGGCTGTTCTCCTTGCTCCCAGTCCCATATCTTTCTGTGTTGACCTCTTGACTAGCACCCTCATTTTGCTGTGCTGACACAGATCTCAGTGCGTGAGTTGCATTCTTGAAGGCAACTGAAGATGTTTACATTGGTGCTGAATCGCTCTGTAGAGCTTGCTGTGACTGATATCAGCTCTGTCCAGTTTAAGTGAGCTCACATCAATGAGTCCTGCAGAGTAACTTGATCTCCACGGACATGTGGACCCCTCTAGGATTTCCAAAAGAGCTGATCTAGCCTGTATTACCATGTCATTTCCCTACAAATGTATAGCAGGAAGGGGGCAACTAATAACCTCAACACTGGATGCATTTCAGCACTGCTTTTTATGTATAACTCTGTGATCATTTGAGATGAAAGATGCCTCAGAATTATACAACTGTGCCGTTGTCATTATTATCTGAATCGATGCTTCTTCAATACTCCTGAATGTGACACATAAATAATAGCATTATGATGTAATCAATATCTCATATTTATATCTACCCTTTCATCCAGAAAGATCACAGAGCTCTTTGTAAGCAACATCTTCACAAGTCCCTCTTAGTTAAGTATAACAGCACCAAAGGGAGCCTGGTGAGCCAATATATAATTATACTGATACAATTTCACTCAGTTTCAAGCCACGTTTAGATCTCACTGAACCTTGGTAGGTTAGATGGAATGTGATAGAGGGTCCAGTATCTCTTGTATACTACAGAGAGGAATTTATAGACAAAGTAAAATTTGTCAAAGTCACCAAAAATAACATGCCTGCACATATAAAAGTCGCAAAGCAACATTTAATGGCTCTCTATAGCCAGAAACTCCAGTGAACACTGCTTCCAAGTGCAAAGGTGTGCTAAGTTTGTAAAAGTTTATGGACTTCGCACTCCTGTAACGAGAGCAGAACACTTGACATAGACATGGCTAAGTGTCAGTGGACAAAATTACTGTTAGACCCTGTGTTTGTTTAAAGCATCCCTCCCTCCCCATTTCATATGCTTTGCATTTATTCTTGGACACGATCTTCAGGGAAAATTATATTCTCTTTCAGAGAAACCAGAGGCCTCTCGAGTTGAATCAGTTTTCTTATTCTTTATGTGAAAGCAGCAAGGCCTTTTAGTCGCTGTTGTTTTGTATATCTTTTTAAGAAGCCCTGCATTTCAAATTAATAACATGAGAAGGATCTTGGTCCATCCTATGCAGAAGATGGACAAAGTTAAAGCAGAGAGATAAAAGATTACTTTTATCTGTACTGTCAAAGTCAGATGGGAATGTAAGGAGGCTGCTACAATACTTAGACACCTTGCCAGATCTCTAAGGAGCAGGGAATGGGTCAGAGGCGAAGGAAAGCTCTGGATACCAATTCAGATCCAGCCAGGGTCTGGTTGTGTTGTCTGGTAGCATCTGGGTGAATGTTATTTTGAAAGACCTGTGAGAAGGTGGGTGTGAAGAGTTGATCACAGGGTACTGGCACTGTTGTGAAATGCGTGGTTGGTCTCACTGCCTCTTTCTCAGGTCCTGAGCTGTGTGAACCCTGACAACGTGAACAGCTCCGAGATCCCTGTGAAGATCCTGAACTGTGACACCATCACACAGGTCAAGGAGAAGATCCTCGATGCCATCTTCAAGAACGTGCCCTGTTCCCACCGGCCCAAAGCTGCTGATATGGACCTGGGTATGTGAGTGCACAATGGGCTCTGAATGCCCCATGGCTTGTGGGAGAGGGGACACAGTTGAGCTCAACCCAAGCACTTTGCTGTGGCAAGTGCCACCTCTCCAGGTACTTGGGCAAGGCAAAGTGTCAGGAATGCTCAGAGGGCAGAAGAAACTGAGTAAATTAATGCAAACTCTCCTGGCTTGTGAAAGCTGTACTGCTCTGGCCTTGAGGACTTAAAATCTCCAGTAGTCATCCTGCTTTTCTGCACAGAGTTTGGCCTGCACAAGGCACATCCTGCCAAACCTTCTGGAAAAGAAAGTACCAAAAGCACAAGGTGATGTTGTCAGCAGTGTTCAGGCTGCTCAGATTTATTCCGAGCTTTTCTCTGGGCGGTGAAGGCTTGGATAATGCATGTCTTCTTGCTGAGTGTCACAGCCCAAGCAGAATTAATTTCTCATCATGAGGGCACAGGAAAGGGGATAAAGCATCCTCCGTTCAGTGGGCTGCATCCATCTCATCCTGACTGCTTCCTTCACCTACCCGCATCCCTCCACCAGCAGCAGGGCTGGGAGGTGCTGCTCTGACATTTTCAGCACTAACATTTTAAGGAAAAATCCCTCTGTTTATGAATTCTTGCTTTTTTGTTCCCTTGTGAGATACTGTGCTTTGGAGGGTGGAAAGGGCTGCACCAGCTCCACTGGCATTTTAAGTCAGCTCTGGGGCACACAGCCTCAAACAATGATACCTCTGGAGCCAAAATCAGCTTCTGCCCAAAACTTGGAGCAAGGGCATGAGGACAATGAGATATCTGCAGCTGGATCCAGAAGCAGATCCAATACAGCACCTGGAGAACTAAATGAAAGGCTGCAGAACAGTCTGCTTGGGGTATTGCTGAGGTGTCTGGCACAGGGCTGGGACTGCATTGTGTGTGACGATCAGCCAGAATTTGCCCTTGGTGACCTTCAGTGAAAGGGGCTTGAGTGGAAAATGATGGAGTCTATAAAAGTCAGTGCAGGAGAGGAGGAACCAAAAGGAGAGGGAATGGATGGATGCCAAGAAACAATTCACAGCAATAACAGAGGCAGAAATAAGAGGTCAGGGATTAAAGTTAAGTGTGTATATGTGTGTGCATTTGTGTAGGGGAGGAGGGGACTCCTGACAGAAATTGCAGAAAGATTTCTGCTCATGTAAGGCAGTTAGAATAATACAGTGATCTGCCAACACCAGCAGCAGTAAAGAACAGGTCATATATATCATCAAGAAGGGACCCAAGGTGATTTTGGAGATGCTGTGAGTCAGCAGTGAGTGCAAGGGTGAGCATCAGGCCACGCAGTGTGCCAGGGTAGAGGAGATGGGACTATTGGGATTGACAGCCAAACCCATTGATCTGTCTGGTGCTGGAGGGTGATCACAGAGCCCATTAGGTTTGGGTCTCAGGCTGGGTGTGGGTGGCAAGTAGTTTGTTCTGCTGTGGGGATGAATGTTGCTTCCATGCTCAGAGGCAGGGATTTGTTACCTGCGTATTGCAATCATGAGGGATAAACTGGAGTGCACAGATTTTATTGCAGCTCTGACAGCTGAGAGGTACAGAGCAGTGTGTGGAGGGGATCTAACTAAAGCCCGGCAATTCTGCATCCAGGGCTTTGTTGCTACAGGTAATTTTGATATTCTGAGTGATGCTAAGAACTAGAAAGTGCGTGCAACCCTAACAGAAGGGCTGAACACAGTCTTGTCCACACTGACAGGAGACTGCTTAATGAGCAGCTGTTTGGCCAATAGCATTGATGATGTAGTTGGCAATAATAATAATATTTTTATGTTTAATTATATAGGAATTATATAGGAAGATACAGATAGAGAAAAAACAACCCAAAACATCTTCTCATCTAGAAGAAGAGTCCTGCCATGAGCAATATGGTTTCAGGCTCCCTTATCACAGCAGTTAATAAGGTGGGAGGAGCAGAGCTGGCACGAGTGAAGCAGGAACAAGAGGGCACGCACATCCAGCCACAGCTTCAGCCCATCCTCTTTGAGGAAAAGGTGCTTGTTGGCACCTGAAGTCCTTCAGTGACAGTAAGAGCAGCGATGGGTGAGCAGAAAGCAGTGTTAGGCATTAGGAAGCAGCACAGAGCTCTAAGCATCACTCTGCCCTAGGCTGAAAGCTCAGAGCTGGGGAGGTGGCTGGCTCAGCCCCTCCAGTGCATGCTAAGCAGTGGGTCTGAACAGATGATTATCATCTGGCCTTGAAATCGATCATTTTCTAAAGAGCAACACTGTTTTCTATTGCAAACGCAATTTTCTAGGCTTTCTGGCCACACTAAGGCCAGATTGCTCACATGAAGAAAGCAAACAAGCTAATGAGTTATTTTGAGTTGTTAAATGCAGGGTAGCTGCAGGCAGAGTGACTCGTATGTGTCGCAAATGTCATAATGTTTTGCAGTTACCCAGACAACTCATGGAGGGGGTTGTCAGCTGAAAGCATTTATTTTGGACACCCTGAGGTTACATTTTAGTCCAAAACCCAAATTGCAGCTCTCAAAGTAAAGGCTTCTTTCTACCGTGGCTATTTTTGTTATTATTGTTTTTTTTAAAGCTCTTGCCATAAATAAAATATTCCCCATCTTTGGGAAAACATTAGGGTGTGAGAATCACCAAACAGAAATTTGGCTCCATGCTGAGGCATTCACTTTTCCCTGAGCCTTTGGAAAGGGACTGCTGAGACAGAGGCAGTTGGACCTCATCAGGGCAAACTGTCAGTGCTTCACCAGCATGCAGTACTGAGGTGATGGGTTTAACATCTAGAAACCATTTAAACAGAGTGCAACTAGATCATATTTACAGTAAGGCAGAGAACTGGACAGGCTGGAGAATTGGGCACAGAGGAATCTTGTGAGGTTTGGCATGAGCAAGTATAGAGTTCTACACCTGGGGAGGAATAATTGCATGCATCTGTATGGTTGTTAGTGGCCGAGCTGCTGGAGAGGAGCTTTCTAAAGAACTTGGGCCTCCTGGTGGACAGCAGACTGTCCACGAGTCATCAGTGTGCTCTTGTGGCCAAGAAGACCAAAGTCATCCTGGACTGCATTCGAAAGAGTGTGGCCAGCAGGGCGAGGGAGGTGATCCTCCTCCTTTACTCTGCACTGGTGAGGCCACATTTGGAATAGTGTGTCCAATTCTGGGCTCCCCAGTTCAAAAAAGACAGGGATCTCCTAGGAGTCCAGCAGAGTGCCACGAAGATAATGTGGAGCCTGGAGCATGTCTCGTATGAGAAAGGGTGAGACAGCTGGGACTGTTCAGGCTGGAGAAGAGAAGACTGAGAGGGAATCTTATGACTCTATAAATAAAGTAAAGGGTGGGAGCCATGTGGATGGGGCCAGACTCTTCTCAGCAGTGCCCAGCAGTAGGACAAGGAGTAATGGGCACAAACTGGTGCATAGGAAGTTCCATACAAACACAAGAAAAAACTTTGAGGGTGACAGAGCACTGGAACAGACTGCCCAAGGAGGCTATGGAGTCTCTTTCTCTGGAGAAATTCAAAACCCACCTGGATGCCTTACTTTGTGACTTGCTGTAAGGGAGCTGCTTTGGCAGAGGGGTTGGATTCAATTATCACTAAAGGTCTCTATCTGTTCTGATATAAACTTCTTCTTTCCAACCATGGTGGTCCTTTTCCATGTTAGAAGCAGAGCTGAGTTTCTTCTGTTTTCTTAGAAATCATCACTTAACTGGACACTTCCTCAGTTTGTTTCCCACACATCTGGTTGTACTGGAGCACACAGAATAGAGGCAAAAGGTTTTCTTCTTCTATTTCTTATGCTAAACTGTGTCTTACTTGGAAGTTATTGGGAAATGATGAAAAACTCCTAGGACTGGAAGACTAAAAGCAGTCCACCCTGGGCTCTTATGAAAAATCCATCATGAGTACAGGTGATCATGAAAAAGGCATCAAGCATGAATAAGCTAGATGCAGATGTTCCCCTTTCCATCGTTGTACACAGCCACAAATTTTTTCATAGCCTTTCAAACCAGTCTATAGCAAAAGGGTGTGAAGCACAGCGGAGTGTATACAGATGACCAAAATGAATTGTGTGCATTGTGACCTACAAATGCTCCTAGAGGTTAGGGTAGACAATGATGACTAGCTCAGAAGAAATCATCTGGATTGAGATGAGAGGTCTTACAGCTCTGAGTGTTTCAGTTGCCCCTGAAAAATCTTTTCTGTGCTGCTCTTTTCTCTGTTGTTCTCTGGGCATCTTCATGGTGATCAGGATCAGAGTGAAGGCACAAGAGAAGTACAACATCTGTAAGACTGGAGGTGCAGGACATCTTCCTCTCTCCCACCTCCTAGTAGACTCACTCCTTAGCAAGGCATTGCTACCACTCAAACAAGCTCCTCTTCATCGTTGTCCCCTGGAATTTCCCTTTTTATGAGTAAAGTTGAATGGAAAGGTTGTTTCTTAAGGGAAAAAAAAAAGAAGAAGAAGAAGAAGAAAAAAAAAGAAGTAATTCCTGCGTGCAATAAAAAGATACACTATCTGCTGAATGAAATATAAAGGCTTCACAGCAGCTGTCTCCTGAGTTTGCATTTACCACTGCTCCTGATTGGAAGGCTTGATAAAGATAATGGGATTTTTACCTCCCTCCCCCTCTCTCTGGAAGGTGGACGTGTAACAAATTGGATTGGAGTGTGTCTCTCCTTTGTGCCTGCTCACAGAGGAGTGGGCAGATCTGATGAGAGAGGGGATGGGGTGCTGGCAGTGAGGACAAAGCTAACAGTTTTCACTTAGTGCTGTGAATATAGATGTCAGGGTCACCTTTTCCTTCTTTTGTACCCTCCCAGCCTGTTCCTCTGCATCATAGAATCATAGAATTGTTTGAGTTGGAAGAGACCCTTAAAGGTCATCTACTCCAACTCCCCTGCAATGAGCTGGGACACCTACAGCTAGAACAGGGACATCTACAGTGGTGCTTCCAGAAACCACATTTCTTTGCAAATTGTTCTGTGACCACCCATAAATAGTAAAGAGCGCATAGCACTGCTCTGAGGTTAGAAAAAGTTGGGGATTCTTTCCCTGTTATTGCTCACATTCATGAGAAAGTGCTTTGCATTTGGTCTGGGCAAATGGGCCATGAAGCTGAAGCAAGATGCTCTGAGCCTGCCTTGCAGAGTTCACAGCCCCTTGTCTTGCTCATGAATGAGCCTTGTGCAAAGTCAGGATGGTCCTTGCTCTTCTCCACCTGGCCCATTTTTTTTATGAAGGCTGAGGGGAAGGAGGTTTGGTAATCACCTGTGTCTAAGTGGGAGTGTAGGGGACCCAAGATGTACATAGAAGACACAGTCCTATGGTTGCCAAAATGTCTCCATAGCAAAGGGAAAGCTTCTGCTGCTCCGAGGACCCTGTTCAGCCCTCAAGCGTGGAGAAACAGAATGAGGAAAGGTATGCCTACATTTCATTTCAGAGCCAAGTGCAACTCAGAGAACCCATGAATTCCTCCCAAAACACTGTGTAAGTATATGTCCTTTCCCAAATATGTGTGAATAAGGAGGCAGCATGCTGAGACATGATGGAGCAGAGTCAAAGAGACACCATGGGGTTTAAGGGTTTTGGTATACCCTTTAGAATGCTTTATAAAAGCAGTGTCCCAGCCCAGCTCCAGTTTAACGTTTTGTGCTCTTCCAAGCAATGTCTGTGATCTGTTAGCTTCTGGGAATCTTGTCCAGGGGGTAATGAACATAGTGTATCATCCTCAGACATCACAAGGATAATATAGGTGAGGATCAGAGGAGCTGCAGTGAACGAAGGGCGGTTTAGTATCAGTGCTTAGCCAACGTAACCTTTGCTTACTCTATCAGTATCTCCAGCCAAAGTAACACCCAGCAATAAACAGAGCAGCTGACCTCTTCGTACTAATTTAAATGAATAATAAAGGCAAGGGCAGCTTTCCCAATACATTTTAATTATGTGATAAGAAAACTGCTGAAACCAAAGGAAATTTGCAATGGTCCTCGCATTTTTATGTTAGGAGAAATAAGCAGGGGTGGCAGGTGATGTCTCCACATCCAAAAGTTCATTTTAATTAACTCCAGCAATTGAATAGACTTTTGCTTGGGCTCCTGCTCGATGTCTGGGTCACTGTGATTGAGGCATGACAGTCAAACAGGAAGCTTTGGATGGTTAAGATTGTTTGTGGTTAAGCTACAGCCATGACTGGTGTCATGAAGAGATGTTACATGTCTCTCCTTTTGGTCCTGTCTATATGTTCCTTGCCTACAGACAGGTTTGTGAGCTCTCTTTGAGACAAGCTGTGTCAAACCTCCACATGAAGCATCCTTCAAGACTTTTACAAAAGGTTGGAGCAGCCTGGGAAGTGCTGGAGTGCTCTAGTACTGCAGAAGGAAAAAAACACTCAGCATTTTGAGGTGGAAGCTAGAGAAGTGGTGTGGTCAGAAACTAGAACCCTTCTGCTTGCAGACATACTGCTGAAGTCCCAGTAAAGGGTCTGGTACTGCACCAAGCCAGACACTGTTCTGCCCAGTGTAGCCCTGTCTGTGGCTGAGTCTTGGCAGTTAGACATATCATAGAATCACAGAGTCAGAGGATCATAGGATCACAGAATGGATTGAGATGGAAAAGACCTTAAAAATCATCTAGTTCCAACTCCTTTGCCATGATCAGGGACACTTTCCATTAGATCAGGTTGCTCAAATCCTCTTCCAGATTGGCTTTGAAGGGTTGGGACATTCACAATTTCTCTGAGCAACCTGTTCCAGTTCCTCACCATCCTCATAATGAAGAATTTCTTGCTAATATCTAAAATAATTTCACTCTTTTCTAAATCATGAGTTATTACCCCTTGTCCTGCTACTGCACTCCCTGATTAGGGGTCCCTTCCTGGCTTTCCTGTAGGTCCTCTGTAGATACTGGAAGGTACCATACTGTCAGCATCTCTGCCTCTTAATGAAAATGGGCCACTGACTAATTTCTATCCCTGAAGCAAATGTTGTTCATTTTCTTATGTCACATGTTAACAGCTGACCTGCAGAGGGCAAGTGGATCTTAGTAACAGCCACAGTGAAGAAAGAACAGCACCAGGGAGTAAACTAGGAGTTAAGCACTATGAAAAGAGTGCACCAGGATTTGCTCCATTCAGCTCTGCAGTTGGAACAACATCTCTGTGGTCACTGCTTTATTTATCTGCATAAACTTTCACCGCTGTGTGTTGCTGTGCAATGGCTTTGGATCTCTTGTGTGTGTAGGCAGCTGCTCTATATTTTCTGCACTCTTCAAAGGGCTGACTGTTTCTTGTGCAATAATAACTTCATGACAGCAACATTTTATCAAGTATAAAGAAACTGGTCTGGTTAACTTAGGACTTGACTGCGAACTTTGCCACATGACTCTTTTTGCACAGCTCATGAACCATTTATGTGAACCTGCCATGATTTGTCTGTCATGGAATCATAGAATCATAGAATCACAGAATGGCCTGGGTTAAAAAGGACCACAATGATCATCTAGTTTCAACCCCCTGCTATGTGCAAGGTCGACAGCAACCAGACCAGGCTGCCCAGAGCCACATCCAGCCTAGCTCTGAATGCATCCAGAGCCTCCTTGGGCACATGTCCACTCTTTCCTTCTATTATGGGCTCTGGGCATTACGCATTCACATACTGTACATGGTTGGAGGCATCTGATAGAGTGTAATGACCACGACTGATGTGGTGCTACAGGTATGCATGTGTCACCATACAGGTTATGAGCACAGGGATTAGAAGGCTCTGAGGGCTCTGCAGAACAGCATTCAGTGTCTCTGTTCTCCTTGCAGAGTGGCGGCAGGCAAGTGGGGCAAGGATGATCCTCCAGGATGAAGACATCACGACTAAGATAGAGAATGACTGGAAGAGACTCAACACGCTGGCACACTATCAGGTAAGTCTGGGAGAGGGTGGGTTAGAAGGTAAATCAGTCAAGAAGGTGCTAAGTAGAAGGGTAAAGTGTTGTTCTCCAAGATGCAGAGTTAAACAGTTATTGAGTGGGCAATAACTGAACAGAGCTCCTGTTGAACACATCCATCCCACTCCTTCTAGGAGCATCATTAGAGATGAAGACAAGGGAAGAAATAAGGCTCTGTCTCTCTCGAAAGAGAGGCAGTTTGGGTGAACAGAGAATGTGAAGAAAAGTGTTTCTCAAGAGAACAACATGAATTAACATTTCTCATGTTGACAAGCAGAAAACAAGCCTTTCTTCCTTTTTCCAATGCATCAAAGGTCTTGTAAAGCTAGCAGAGTCCAGAAGGATGGAAAAGAGAAAAATGGAAGAGAAGAAGATTTATTTTTTGAAAAAAAGGAGGAGAAAAGCAGCATGACTGGAGAGAGCAGTGCAGTGGAGATGACACTGCCCTAAGATCCCCTGATTTAATCCCTTTGAGACTTGATTTAAGACAAGGTTTCTCATCATCTCTGCATAACCTTGAGACCCATAGGAGAGGGATAAAGATGTCCAAATACATCATATATAAGTGTTAGATTTAATGGAAATGGAGTTTTGGTCAAAAGGTCCCCCAGTCCTTTCCACTCCTGCAAATAAATAAATAAATAAGTGGATAAAATAAACCAACTCATTAAGTTTAATCCAATCCTGACAATTCTGTCATTTCTTTAATCACACTTCAGCAATATGTGTTTCATAACAAGATATCTTTTTCATTTAAGGGCTGACCTGAGGAGGCAGCAGGCAATCATTTGAAAAAGGAACAAAACTTTTCACTTCAGATTGACTGAAGGATTGCTGGCTGACTCCAGAAGACATTTTATGTTTTTTGTTTTTGGTTTTTTTTGCAAGAAGGAAGGGCTTCTATTTCATTTCATCAGCAGACCAAGTATAATTTTTTCCCCCTTATGTGCTTTTTTTTGTTGTTTGCTTCAGGCAGTGAGCTCCCATGTCTATGGATGAATAGGGGCAGAATAGGTCCACAGCTGCTGGGGATTAGAGCTCTGCATTGCTTAACCTGGGGCACTCGCTGACATTTCTGCTGCCTCAGTTTCCCTATATATATATAGCGTGGGGCTGAAACTACAAAAGCCTGTAATTGCCTTCCATAATTGCTGAAGGGCTATTTAATTAGCCTCTGCAGTGCTTTGAAGATCAAAAACTCCATGCAAGTGCTAATTATTATTATTACACAGACAAGAGCTAGAAGTTGTTAGCATTTTTTTTTCACCTATCTCCTTTTTATGATGTCTTATTTATCACAGATATTCCTGATATGGCTCCTCTGAGCCGCTGACTTGTTAACATTTCTGATAAAGGACCCACATGAATCACTTAGCTGTAGAAGTGCAAAGCCTGGCTCATTTCAGAAAGCTCTGCTTTCTGTTGGAACAGTATCCCACTATGTCCTCACACAGCCTCTCCATCCCTGCTGAGATCCTCTGAAACAGCAAAGAGAAAAAGTTCATGGTGGTCAGTTCTAGTCAGCAGTGCATTTGTTGCCTGGAAAGGGGAGACTGTGCACTGAGAGGCTGACAGGATGAGTCAGAGTGGAAAATGTAGGTATCTTCATCTAAGCTGTGTATCTAGATAGTACTTGCATTCAAGGTGGGAGGAGCAGAAAATTTCACATCAATTTTCCCATCCTTCTGAGACTTGATGTTTTTTTTTTTTTCCTGTAAATACTTATTTCTCTCTACTTGAGGTGACTAGGATAGCTGCAGGAGTCTACACTGAAGTTGTCTTCAAGGAAATAATATGAACTCTGGTGTTAATTTTCACTCTTCACTCTCAGAAAATTTCTAGAGCACTGGACAGTCACCTCCCTACCAGCCATGTCATCATTGATAATGTTGTCTCTTTTAGGAAAACTCACTTTAAATAGTTTTACCATGAAACAGCACTCCAAATCCTAAATCCTAAGGTAATAAATGAGATGTGAGCTCTTCTCGTTCCTGTCACAACTGTGGGTTCAACTTAATTTGGACCTAACATAGGAGCCCCATTCTTTCATCTCTCCCTTTCACAGAATCACAGAATCACAGAATCACTAAGGTTGGAAAAGACCTATAAGATCATCCAGTCCAACCTTTATCATCAAATATTCTTCTGTGAACATCTCAGCAGCACCTCAGTAAGGCTGATACCTGTGCTCGTGTCAGGTCAGGCAAAAATGGCTGATTTGGATAGATTTCCTTCATTTGGGAAATGAAATGGTGTAAAAACAACTTGTGTTTGTGATTTGGATATATAGAGATCCTTAACACTGATAGCTCTTGGTCGGAAACTGCTATGTAACTTGCAACCTTAACCTAAATTCTCCAGTCTGCCTCTGCTCATAGGAAATGCAATATTCAGTGTCTGTTCCAGTGTCATAGTCCTAGTCATTCATTAGCTTAGGTCTCAGGTGATTTCTCTGCTGTGAAAAATGACCCTGTAGTAGCTCCAACCTCTCTTGAAGTAATACTGTGGTTACAAGCTAATCGCTCTGCAGCTGTGTATGAAGACAAGTTATTTTATTCTACTCACCCTCTCATCCTGACAACTGCTTCCTTATGAAGAACCTACTATTAGATCAATGCAAAGACCCACACTGTCATCACTGGGCTTTATCCCAGGACTATCTGCTTTGTCATCTGTTGTCCTGGTACCCGAGTACAGCCTTCTAGTGATATAACAGGAGGTTTTATCACTCTTTTTGTTGTTGTTGTTAACAAACCCTCTGAAGAGAACACTTGAAGCTTTGGTAGAAAATTACTGACTTGCCTGCAGTGTCATGGGTTTATGTCTCAATTTCTGCTATTTGAATTCCTGCTGTCCTTGGCATGCTCCTCAGAAGCCTATTAACAAAGTCAATTTTTCTCTATAGGTGCCAGATGGATCTGTGGTAGCTTTAGTCTCCAAGCAAGTCACTGCCTACAATGCAGTCAACAACTCCACAGTCTCCAGAACCTCAGCCAGCAAATATGGTAAGGACCTGTGTGCTGGTATGGATCAAGAGAGCACTGCAGGAGAGATCTCAGACGTCATTGTGGTCACGAGGCACTGAGCAGCAGCAACAAAAATGATAGGCAGATGAATAGTTGACATGATTCTTTGGTGGATGGCAGGAGGAAAGGATCTAGTCATCTAAAACGTTGGGATCTGGTCCAAGCTGTTGAGCCAAATGGAATGTTTTGGGGAAGTACCTCTTCTCTCCTATTAGATAATGGAGGAGCCTAAATAATTAACAGTGTACATTTCAGATCACTGTGGTCAGATGGAACGCATCTCACTCTTAAAGTTTTCACAGGGAGAGGCAAGAAGCATTGCATAGAGTAAGAGCTCAGTAATTTTGGTAGGAAAGGTCTGTTGTGAAGAATCTATGGCACAGATTAGAAGCCTCTGGGACTAGAAACAACCAAGACAGAGGGCATTGCTTGCATACTGTTATATTTTCGTGTAAGTATTATGTGTCTCATCCTGCTATTTTATTATCCCAAGGGAATTTACACCTGGAATAATAGTAAAAACAGCTTGCTGAGGTCATTTGTCAGTGTATCTCAGAGCATTGCACTGTTCTTCCCACTTTACGCATGAGACAACTGAGAATGAGACAGCTGTCACCCCAAGATGCTGTGACGGCATGGGAGGGCAAAGACAAATGTCTCTAATGTGCAACCAGAATGTTGCTCCATCCATGATGCAGTTAGCATATCAGTTTACTATTATTTTTCTTTATGTATGAAGGCATCTTTGATCCTTCTAATTCCCTTTAGGCTTGAGGGAAAGTATGGCTACTCAGTGTCCAGAGGAACCCCCTTCCTCTCTCTCCAAGGACATAAGCAATCCACCAGACCTTATTAATATTCATCCAGTTTGTCATGTTGTTGCAATTACTGAAAGACACAGTGACCTTTGAAAAGGAAGACTTAAGGGGGGTTAATTTCTCTTGGATTTCTTTAATTCTTTTGCCATTTGATTTTTCATGAGGAGGGTGTGAGGGAGGATACTGGGGGAGGAGAAGATGTAGTGGGTCACAAGTGATCGTTAATTGCAATTAAGTAAACAGCATCCAGAGAGAAGAAGGATATTCCATCTAATAATTAATATGTAGAGATTGGTAGTGCATTAATAAGGTTGATTCAGATCTTGCTGTAGAAATGTGCAACACTCTTCTGTTAATCATGGTTGGAAAAGACTCAATCTGTAGCATTGCTGGCAGGGGGAGGGGAATGCCTCATGGCATCACTCAGGGACAAAGGAAAGTACTGTCTATAGGATAAAAGTGTCCTTGTGGAGGTAATATGTGTGGGCCCCCTGGCTCACTTTCTATCAAAACAAGATTTTAAAGCAGAGACTGAAGAGAATAGTTGGGTAGGAGGTATTGGATTGCTTTGTTGCCAAAGGAGAAAGGGGAAGCAGCTCCTCCTGAATTCGGTGTTGGGGAGACAGGCAAGAAGTCATATTGATTGCATCAGTATTTTCATGCAAGAAGGCCTATGACCTGTGCTCTGACCGTAAGGCCAAGAAGCTTGGTCAGATATGGCTATCAACCACACAGGTAAAATAAGTTGAACTTGCCCCTGTTTGCTACCATGAGTATTTGCTACTGTTCCATGAACCCATAGTGTAGGCAGTGCCCTACACTAGCAGTGCTAGTTGTCCAGGGCCAGATGTTTGACAGGGAACATAATAAGTGAAGAGCATGGGCAACTGAAAGGCAGTGTAAGAGCTTCATTTAATTTACAGACATGACCATCATGTCCTGCTTGGCTCATATCCCTTGCAGAATCACTCAGTCCTACTTTGATAGCAAGGCCTGGTCCATACACCAGTTCTGGGACCTTTTCTGGCTCACACTGCAATTCCACCAGGAAATACAACTCTTCTGCTTAATGTTATGAATTGATCAATGGAACTTTATTTAATACTAATATGGAAATATAGAGCTCACAAGAGGGGGGACACTGCAGTACGCTTACAGCAGTGTGTGCATCCCATTCATATATCAAATGTCAGAGGAACCAGTACGAAAACCAGACAGCAGAAAGAGGTCTTCTTCTTGCCTTTCTGATGAGAAAGCACATCTCCTTGTTGAAACCCATTAATTTCAATGCAAGTGCTAATAGAGCTGACACACATGCATCTCTCTTTGCAGAAAACATGATCCGTTACACAGGCAGCCCAGACAGCCTCCGCTCCCGCACACCCATGATCACTCCTGACCTTGAGAGTGGAGTCAAGATGTGGCACTTGGTGAAGAACCATGAACATGGCGACCAAAAAGAAGGTGACCGAGGCAGCAAGATGGTTTCTGAGATCTACCTGACAAGGCTACTCGCCACCAAGGTATATGGAGGGAGTAGGGAAGAGGGTGAGGAATGGGCTTTTGAAGGCTGTGGTGTGACATCTTGCCAACAAGAAATGAGAGACTGCTCAAGGAGTATCAAAGAGGGGATAAAAGAGCAGAAGGAAAATAGAGCAATAGAAGTGCTCAGAGTGCAGAGGGAACCTAATTAAGAAAGCAAAGTCAGGAAAGGGACTTGAGAAGTTGAAGACTTGCCCCTAGGACTGTTCTCTGCAGATCCAGGACATTCTCTATGTTGTGATCTGTCTGGCTTTGCTTTCTCAGAACAGCATTATTTGAGTGTTGGCAAGTTCTCCACCGAACTTGTCTTCAAAGACTCTATAAGAATATGGGCAGAAGAAGCTGTGTGTATATCTATCTGCTGTTGCACCCCATGGATCTCTTGATGGTGGTGCTTTCCTTGGAGAAGCCTGCATTAGTGGAGAGGGTGCAGAGCTTTTCTTTTGCATCACAGAAGGAACCAGGGCAGATGGGGAGGCAGGCATTTAATCAGACAGATCCCTGTGCAATCCTGCAATCCTCTTGCAGTGCAGTGCATCTCTTTGCCCAAATTTCTCTGACACGAGTTATCTCGATGCAGCCCAGAAGTGGAAACTGCAGCTGTGGCTCAGGTGGGCTAATCAGAGTGTTATCTCACCCCATTCTGGGAAGGATTAAACTGAGGAGCAATCAAACAGCCCAATCTTTCTTCCTTCTCTAAAGTTTTGACTATTATCATTTCCTGTCAGTGTGTCAACAGGCACAAACATGATTACATTTATTCATGCAAACACCATCTGAGTTTGCTGATCTGGCAAGTCTCCATTACATGTGTAAGTCCTACTGTAAGTTTCACTTGCACATTTTTTCCTCAGCCTGTGGTGTCAGTCTCTTCTCTCTGCCTCACTCCATCTCTGTTGCAGTGGGATTCAAAGTACTTACATGGATCACATAATATAGCAAGAAAATGATGATCCCCCGGGCCTCAGTCCCAGATTAAACTAGTGATCACTGGACCAGTGCTGATGTACACTGTCTGGAGATATGTCCCCTGCTCCAACACTGAAGTGTTTTTGGTTTATTCCGGATCACAAACTCAACACTTGCTTTTTTTTTTTCTTTTTGCTATAAAGATGGCTGGAGAACAGCTGCAAAACTTGCACAGCAACAGAAAGGCTGGTGGTTTATGGTTTCCCCTCTTGGGCTGAGCAATTTTCTATCATCATTGTGACCATCTGAGGGAGGGAAAGAGGAGAGAGACCAGTTGCTGGTAATACAATCCCAGGGAACACTTAGTTAAACTGACAATGATTTTTATTCTAGTAAATCCCTGACCTCTGAGACCTAGAATCTCTTGCCTAAAAGCTTCAGAGGTTTTCTTTCCATTTGTGTGGGTGAGCATGTAGAGAACTAATTCCCTCTGGAAAGTGAACCTGAGGGCAGCTCTTCGATGTCAGAGCAACAAGATTTCCCCTCGGGGGCCCTTTCTGAGTCAGAGATGCTACAGGGCTTTATTCACCCTGTAGGAGTTCACACAAGCAAAAGGCACCTCTGTTTGTTTCCCAAAGAATAAATCAAGTGGTGAATCAGCAAGAGACACCAGCTTTCTAATTAAGTATTTCTTAATGCTATGTAAACTTGAGCCACTCTGATGGAACCTGGTGTTTCATTTCTAGTAAAAAGGAATTTCTTTCCTGAATCTGCAGAGAAAGGGAAGGATTTTATTTTTCAGCTGAGGAAATTTTGCATATCAGGAAATGATTGGTTATTTTGGCAACCATATGGTTTATTCACATGTAAATGACTGTGCTGCTTTGGTGACAAAATCAATTTTCACAGGCTACCTCAACTGCCCCCTTCTCCAGGCCTGGGCAGCCTTTGCTATTTTAGCCCTTCATGTCCTTACTGGAGGTCAGCTGTTCTCATCAGCTGGTCCAGAGTGGTTCTGTAAGCACATGAGGACACCATTGCAATCTCTGTAGCAGACGTAATCACAGAATCACAGTTTCAGGATTTTGAAGAGACCATCAAATCCAACCCCCCTGCAAAAGCAGGTGCCCTACAGTGAGTCACACAAGAAAGCGTCCAAACAGGTTTCCATAGAAGGAGACCACATCTCTGGGCAACTTGTTCCAGTGTTCCATCACCCTTAACCATTTTGCCTCTTGAGCAGTAACTGACACATCCATGCATTGTTCCTAAAGTTTGACTTGGTCCCATGACAGTGTGTAGTAAAATACCACACACTGTCTAATAGTAATTAAGATGAAGTTCTTGGTTTTTGTTACACTAATGAGTAATGGACAGCCATCTTATCCAGTCACTGTTGTCCTTTTTGTGTCATTAAAACCTTCTGCTCTTCTCTGCTTGGCTTCTATCCTCAGTTTGAGAATAGGCCTTGTATGAAAACCAGTATAGAACATAGCTCGTTTTTGGCTCACGTATACATCAAGATTGTTGAGCTTAGGATGAAGAGGAAATAAAATTTAGAGGGAACAGGTGAGTGCCTTCCCATCACCATCCCATCTTGAGATGGGATATGGTGTTCCACTACAACTCAGCCAGCTTCCCTATGTGTCAATAACAGAAAGAACAAGTAATATTGTCACCTATCCCATTCAGCTGTTAGCCATAAGTAACAGATATTCTGAAGATGCAGATGTCAGACATCTGGGTTGAAATTTCATCTCATGTTGTGTTCAACAGCTATTAAATGGCTGTTGCTTATCAAACATATTTCCTGCATCTGATTTATAGACATACTCTATTTTCAGTTCCTCTTCCTACTTGGTGTCCCATACTCTTCTCTCCTTCTCCGAACAGGGCACTCTCCAGAAATTTGTAGATGACCTCTTTGAGACCATCTTCAGCACAGCTCATCGTGGCAGTGCACTTCCCCTGGCTATCAAATATATGTTTGACTTCCTGGATGAGCAAGCTGACAAGCACAACATCCATGACCCCCACGTGCGGCATACTTGGAAGAGCAATTGGTGAGTGAGACAGGTCTGGTACCAGGTCCTCAATCAGAAGAGTGGGACGTGTGATTTAGGATATGGGTGGTGGGGAACATGGGGTTCAGCATGCCAGGTTCAGTCTTCTCAAGCTGATGGAATTGTATGCAAAATCTAAAGGATGTTCTCAAGGGTAGAGTACTTTGGCTATAGATCCCAGTTTGTACTATGTTACATGGGGGTAGTAGTATTTCTGAACGACCTCATGAGAATATAGGAGGCAAAATTGTAAGGTGTTTAATTACAGTAGTGTTCAGGCCCATAGGGATCTCTGGGGATACATGGGAGAGCGCTGCTGTCTGTTTCTGCCCTGGGTGTTTGAACTCCCACTACAGTCACTGGGGGCCTAGAGTTCCTTTTTGTTGCCTCCAGAGGCATCTAGTGCTGCCTGAGATGTTTTAAAAGTGTACCAAAGGGAATATGCAGTGCCTACAGGAGACTTGTGCCCTCCTGGGGTGGTAGATGGAGATGAGGAGATACCTTAAAGCTACCTTAAAGCAGTACTTTGAGGGTTTGGAGTTGGGTGTAAGTCTTTTTCAGTGAGTGACAAAGGTTGACATGAGCTCACTGCTCTATTCAGCAGGTAGAAACCCCTCACTGTACATGTAATAGGACAGCAGGGTAAAGTCAGTATTGATGGAGGAAGAATCTTTGCAGCACCTCTCTGCTGAGTGTCCCTGTTGGAAAGAATCCCTGGGGAACTGTTCCCTCCCCTTTCTCTGTGCAAATACAGAGAGTATGAAAGGAACAGCAAAGGAGAGCCATGGGGCTCCCAGCTCATGCATTTTTTTCCTTTTACCAGCCATGCTGATGGCAGGTCGTCACAGCGCTGTGACATAAAAAAAGAAACCCCATGCACCAAAGAGGCTTTCAACTAATGAAACATTAGCATATTATTAACATTATCTGCAGCACTAATCTAAGGCTGATTGCAGCCACTCAGACTAAATGAGCAGGAGGTTTATTTAAGGGGGGAGGGGAGAAGGCAGAATGTGTATGTATTGGAAGGGGGGAACAGGGGCAGTATGAAGAAATCTGTTCAATCAGATTAAATTAACTCTAAGTCACATCATGGGCTTCATTATTCCCAGCGAGGGACATCATCCTCCCATCCCCTCCCCACAGCCACACATACGTGCAGGCTGTGCTTGTCCTGACTGTGCCTGTACTTAGCATCCAAACAACCTCAGAATTTTGGCACGGTTCACTCATTCAGCTCTTCCCTTAAGAGATGAACCTCCATTCCCAGCCTAAAAGGTTTCCCTCCCGCAACTCCCATTAGGTCTCACTGCCAGCATCTCCCACTCTTGAACTTCTGTCCCTTCCCTAAACGAGGTTGGTTTGGCTGATGAGAGTAGCTGTGTGAGGCTTTCCTCACATTTGCTGGCTGAAGCTACTACATATTTGTTTAGGAAAATGTGGTACCATCTCTCTGTGAGGACATGCTAAAATGCCTGCTGTCACCTGAAGGATATCAAATGTGGATATAAATTGTTTATGGTGCTGTGAACACGTAAGGGTAATGAGCAAATTGGAGGAACTTAGAATCTGAGGAATTTAGCCTGAATGTCAGCTGAATTTTTTATACTGAAGAGTTATTCATGTCTGGGAAAGTGCAAATGTTGGAAGTTAGCTTATGAGTCTACCTAGCATGAAGACAGACAACAGTTTGATAATAATGACACATCTCAGCTCTTAGGCCATGATCATATGAATGCATTTGCCCTGACACAAAAGGCTTGAGGCAAAAGCTGGAGGTAGATACCTCGGGACGTCTCACACGGATGAACAGCTCTTTTAAGTATGAGGGGGAAAAATGAGGGGAAAGCCTTTGAATTGCAATTGGAATAGCATTTCTACGGTTAGGGCAGATAAATTTTCATTTCAAAGGTTGCAACACTTGTTCCCTGTTCCTATTTTTCTCCTTGTGGCAACAGGGTTTTCTCTGCCACATAATAACTGCTTCATGCCCAGGATGTTGGGATCATACACCAGCCTGGGCTTGTGCTGTGCAACTGAACAGTACATGGCACACAGCACCTATCATTAACATTCCCAGACTCAGCCTGGCAGCTGTACCTACCTTTCTTCCCATGGTGTTACCATGAGGCTAAAAGCCAAGTCTTTGAATGCCCAGTGCTTACCATAAGTTGTGTGAATGAGATGTTTATTCTCATGTGATGAAGCAACCAACAGCAGCTGACCTCACATTTGCACCCTTACATAGGGAAGTGAGGAGATATTTCCATCACCTCGAATATACTTTCATTAATATAATCTCATTAATTTATGTGCAGCCTCAGTAAGATGGCTGTGACTTTAGGAGTGACCATATTGGCCTGTGAGGATAAAAGGGACAAAACTCATTCCTGAAGTGACTCTGTTGTGCACCCTGGAGTCCTACAGGGGTAGATCTACCCCTACAGCATAGATTTATAGTATATCAGTGACAGAGTTGATATCCCAGAATCCCAATCTTCATGCCTTGATCTTTAGTTCCTATCCACCAGTCAGCTTTGCAACATCACAAGACAAAGCTTATGAAACTTGCAATTACTGACTTGCCTTTTCCACATTTCTCACCTCTCTGACAGCCTGCCATTACGGTTCTGGGTTAACATGATCAAGAACCCACAGTTTGTCTTCGACATTCACAAGAACAGCATCACAGATGCCTGCCTCTCTGTAGTGGCTCAGACATTCATGGACTCCTGTTCAACCTCAGAGCATCGTCTGGGCAAAGACTCACCCTCCAATAAGCTTCTGTATGCCAAGGACATCCCCAGCTACAAGAACTGGGTGGAAAGGTGAGTTTTGGCTCTAGAAATGGGAATAACGTAAGCAGGTGGTAAAATGAAGCCCTGCTTCATGGATGGAGGTAAGAGGTATCTTCAGTATTGGGTTTGGTAGCTGCTTCTGGGTTTTTCTTCTTTGATTAATGTTCAGGTAGAAAGCTCTGTCTGCCATTTATTCTCACATGCTGTACAACGCATATAGAAATTTCATTAGAGGTGTGAATTGAAGGTGTTTGCCATCACTGTTTCTCTTGAGGAGAAACTGTTAAGAAGAGAGAGGGAAGAAGGAAAGGGAGGTGACTGCATCTGAGTCCTGTGAGCTTTGTGGACTTCTTACTCTTTCCATGCAGACCAGAAGGAGTTAGTTTCTCCCAGCATCACTGTGACAGTCCCCACACTGCTTTGATCTCAGGGGTCACACAATTATCATCCCTTACTCTAAGTCCAGTAGCTACCCATGGCAGCTTGTCTGTGCTTTGGATGCCATGGAATTGTCAGATTAGTGACTGAAGCTCTGCAGGTACTTTCTGAAAGGTCAGAAGTCTTTCTGAGCATTTTATACATACCTGCAGGAACCTGCAGTTTTACTATTCAATCTACTGCACTAAAGTTCACTGTCTGACAAGGCTACCATACAGGAAATACAACTAAGACAACTATTCCTACAGTACATAGGGATTTCAGTCCCTCTAAGATTTTCTGCAGGATGAACAATAGCACATCTTGTACTCCTTTCAGCAAGATATTGTCTGCTGGAGCAAGCCTTGCAGAAGCTGATCTGTGCTTTGTTTTCCAATATGTCACACTTGCCTGGCATTATTGACAGGTTTGGGAACTGCACAGATGGAGAACGATCGCTAGTCTGTAAATACAATGATGGGTTTATCTTACAGATCATTCCTGTACAACAGCATCCCATGTTCAGCAGTGATTTGTCTTGCTTGACTTCATAGGCATTGTCTAAAACTGATGTCACCATGAAGGTAATATGAGACCTTTGCTACTGTAGGCATACTATGCTGTAAACCAGTATATCCTCTGGTGGGTAAGAATTTCTCTAATTTTGTGAAAGCAGAGCACAGCTGATGAAAGAGCTCTGTACTCTAGTCAGCATGAGGTGAATTTTTTACAATAATGCTCCCATTGGTTTCTGATTTGTCCGGACAATTATTTTTAGATGTGGTTAAACACTTCTGCAAATGTCGTTTCTAGGCAACCTGTAAGGCTCTTAGAAACTACCTTGCTTAATTATGACCTACTTCTAGTACTGTGTCCAAGTTTCTTGATATGTATTGAGATTGATTGCTGGATTGACCTGGATAGGTGGAAAGAAGTGTTTGAGATTTATTTAGAAACAGTAGATTTGCACTAGCAGTGACCCAGTGGTGTCATATTCCTGTAACCTGTGTAGTGTATGAAGTTGGTGGGTGGTTCATAGAACCACAGAATCATTTGAGCTGGAAGGGACCTTGAAAGGTCATTTAGTCCAACCCCTTTGCAATAAATAATGACACTTACATCTCAATCAGGTTGCTCAGAGCCCTGTCAAGCCTGAGTTTGAATATCTCCAGGGACGGAGCATCCACTACCTGTTCCAGTGCTTCATCAATCTTATCATACATTTTTTTTTTCTTCTACCCAGTCTAAATCGACCCTCTTTTAGTTTGAAATCATCTCCTGTTGTCCTATCACAACAAAGCCTGTCCCAAAATACTGACCCCTCAGGAGACACAACACATCACTGATCTTCATCCAGACATTGAGCCACTGATGACCACTCTCTCTGAGTATTATCTCAGAACTAGTTCCCCTCTATTGAATAGTTCACCCATCAAATCCATATCTTTCCAATTTAGAGAGAAGGATATTATGGGGGAACTGTGTCAAAGGCCTTCCTGAAGTCAAGATAGATTACATTAGTGGCTCTTCCCTTGTCCATTGTTGCAGTTACACAATTGTAGAGAACCACTAGGTTGGTCAGGCAGGACCATAGCTTGGTGAAGCTATGCTGCTTGTCCTGTATCACCTCCCTCTCTTCCATGTGTGTTGGCATAGCTTCCAGGAGGATATGCTCCACAGTCCTCCTTGGCACAGAGATGAGGCTGACAGGTCAATAGATTCTCTGGGTCGTCCTTTCTACCCATCTTAAAAATGGGTGCACAGTAGCCAGGTACTTCAGCTGATCACTGTGACTTTTCAAATATTATCAAGAGTGGTTTGATGACTACAACAGCCAGTTCCCTCGGGATTCTAATTAGGATGCATCAATGGATCAGTGGATTTATGGATGTTCAGGTTCCTCAGGTGGTTGCAAACATGATCTTCACTTAGAGCAGGAGGGGCAATGCTCCCCTATCCCCATCTGAGCCATCTGCTTGAGGGGTGTGTGAAAAGAAGTTGCCAGTGAAGGCTGGTTTCTTACTTACAGCTCTGCTGGACTTTATACCCTTGGTGACGGCATGCTTTAGTCAAGAATTGATATGTGGGTGAAGAACAGGATATTAAGATTTTCTGGAGCTCAATCCTGTTGCCCAATGATCTTCAGCAACAGCTGTTGAATTTCTCTGAGTTTTCCTGAGCAACAAACACGGTACATAACACCTCCTGTTGCTAGTAAACAGCACTGCATTTCTGGGCCCAGCATGTATTGGGTTATTATCTGCAGTGATGTCTGAAAAACTGTACTAAAACCCAAGGGGAGACCGTGACTTTTGGAATATGGTTAGAGCTTCTGCCCTATTAATACTTTTGTGTGTCAATGCTACAGTCTCAAAGCAGTGGCACCTGGATGCTGTTGTAGATCAAAGGAAAACTTACTAAGAATGAACAGAATATAATTTCATTTCGACTTTGAGTTAATGAATTCCTTTTCTCCGTTCTGCAACTGTACTCCAATGGCTTTCAGTACTGGTTTGAGTTATTTCTGTAGTCAGTGCCAGCTGGAGGCAGCATCATTCAAGACCACTAGACTTCTTCAAAGACTGAATCATAACTTAAAAAGATTTTCCATCAGGAAGTTTAAGAAGTGGTTGAGTAAATCAGAAGAACCTGAAATCAAATGAACTTATTTGATGAAGAAGAATCTGTAAGAGGGCAATTAGGCAGCAGTGAATTGTAACCCTTCTTGAAGGCACACTAGAGTAAAAGCCAACTCTTCTCTTTTAATGTGGCTGTTCAGATGGCAGCTGAGCTGGGCTTCTCCAAGCCATCTCTTTGCAACTACTGGTTCCTCAGTGTTGAATGTGCCTTTAGGACTCAAAAGACTCAAAGCTGAAAACTGTCTTAGCACAAGAAATAGCAGAGAAAGCAGCAGACATAAGTGACAGTCTCCAATTCATGCTAAAGTATCTTTCCAACTTTTTAGAGGGTTAGAGTGTTGGAAAGGACATAGTGCAGTTTTGGGGCTCACTGATGGTCTGCCTTTACACACTGGTCAACCAGGAGTTTGATTTCAGTGGTCTTTTTCAATGCTGTTGGGAGCAGAGCTGGATTCTGTCTGCTGAAGCAAACTCACTGAGATATCCTGACTTCAGTAACATACAAGTGCAGCATTCAAATGACACGATCAGGACTCTTTCTCTTTGAAAAGGCATGACTGAAAAGCACATAGGCACAGCCACAACTTGAGATTCCTGCAGCAGAAGATGAGGTGTGAGAGAAGCAATAGAATTAACTCAGGAAATGGGGACGGACTATATGGTTTTTGTTGAAGCCATGAAAAGTCACTCTGTTGTTTTAAAACAAGGTGGCAGCTTTTAAAATATCATAATTCTGTCTATTGAGAAAAAGGGGAAAAAATGGGAAAGATAGACCAGATTCTCATCTGACTTCTGTTAGTAAAACTCCATAGGCTTTGCTGAATTTACATTAGAGCAGCTTTAGATCTGCATCTTTTCAAGTTTACTTCAAATGTCCCCTTTGAGCCTAGAAATCTGGTGAACTTGGGAGCATTTGATGCAATCCCCAAGCATTACAAAGTGGAGCCTGTTCTAATTGTGACTGTCTCATTAGCATTCAACGCCACACTGAAAAGATGACAAAGGGCTGTGGCTGACCTTTCATTTCTCTCCATGCTGCCAAGCTTATGATAACACTTGTTTGAACTTCATTAACACCATTTAATTGCCTGCATCACAATCAATACGATGCTTCCCCACTGAAGCCTGGCACATAGGCATGATGTAGGAGACTGCAAAGGGGCAGAACACAAAAAGCAGAAGGCAGAGTTTTTCCATTGCACACTGGTGCCCAAAGTACCTGCAGTGCTGCAAGAAGAGGAATTGGTGCTTTTTTCTCATTCCTGTGGGTATTTGGTCAAGTTTTAGCTGCTTAGTGTGAGTTAAAAATAGTCCCTTAAAGAAAAGCTGGACTTCAATGGAGACAATGCATATATTATTAAGACTCTGAGAATCTTTTAATCAAGAAAGTTCAAAATAGATTTGACATGTTTCAGACTAAAAGAAGTTTAAAGTGACCTTAACAATAGGATTCAGAGTTAAAACATCTGCAGTTCATTGTGTTAACCTGAACACAAACACTACCCAACCGAACTACTGGGATCCAGAGCCTGTGTGTGATCTCTTTTTCTTGAAGTAACCATGTTTTACATGGTGTTAACTATCTGGTGTCAAAGTCTTAAGCTTTCTCAAAAATGTTGTGGGAGCTTGTTTGGAGTATGCAGAATAAATAGCCTGGTCCTATTTGGTATCTGAACCTATATCACTTTTCAGCCTGTGATGTCAGACTGCAGTCAATGGATGGTCTCTCCCAGTGCAGCCATTTTGCAACAACTTTTGTTGACAAAGACAAAATGTAAAAAATGTACCAGTTTGGTACAATGCAATACACTGCACACACCCCAACACTGTAAATCAGTGAGATTTTTAACAGATATTACCAGGTGGCCTTTTAACTCCAAGGGCTTTAAAAGAGAGCATCAAATAACAATTGGAAGTCCTTGCTCTACTTTAAAAGCAGTCTTGTGCATTTCTTTTTCCTGACAGAAAGAAGGC